TCTACTGTATTGTTTGAAAATGTAAAGGCATTTAAATACATTTGTATTTAAATACTGTAATATGCATTCAAGCTAACAGTTACACATACTTCAATAAATGCACATAGCTACACTGCATCCTTTACAGCATTAATTCAAGTACTCCCTGAATAAAATTAAAGAAGAAAATTCTACTTAGAGCAGAAAAAAATGAAATGTTATCAAGGTGATGTGTGATTCAGTCATTCAATTTTCTGCTTTGCTGAGCATGCCTCTTGGCAACAGTGTTACCGTGACAATTTGGCACAAGCAAAACTATATACATTTTATGCCTTCTGACGTGTATTTAAACTTTACTTAACGAAAGGTCAGCGATGCCAAGCTTTTTATAACTTTCTAGTTAACACACCAAATTTGAATAAACTGTATAATTAAGACTCTACATGACTCAAAAGGCCTCGTGGCCAAACGCTCTCTTCAGTATCTTGTGAGCACATCATGTGACTCTGATGAAATCTTTCTCTGTTCCATGAGAATACTCATCACTGTCACAGTAGATGTGCTTGTTGGGAATTACATCAGTCTGTCTGTCACCTCTAGCAACTCTTTCATCATGGCCTTTTTTTTTTTTTGTGGTGCTTTTGACGTAGTACATGACTCAATAATTACTACAGTACAGTAATTACTTTAACCATCCACTGAAAGCATTTCTATGTGCTGATGAGTATAATATTTAAGCCTGGAAATGATACTGTATTGAATATTAGATTAGGGTTATATTTGTAACACCCTAGCTCTAAATTCGCATTGTATCTGTGATCACTTACAGCTGTGCAGCAAACATTCAAGGTGTGTCACCTAAGTTCTCGAGTCCTTTATATTCACACAAGCCTGTTTGCATTTATGCTTCGTGTGTACTGCAGAAGTCTTATTAGTTGGTATTAGTGTTTCTGTGTGTGAGGTTGTGTTTGCTTGTGTAGGCACCATAATGGGAATGCACATACCCGCAGGACAGGCGCCTTCTGACATAATGAGGACTTCAGACTGTTGCTTGCAGGCATCCCTGCGCAGGAAACACTCGTTCTGGTAGTTCTGATTGTTGGAGCCACACACCGGGGCATAGTCGTTGTTGCACTGCAGAGAGGAGAGAAAAAACCAGAAGGAATAAGTGAGAAGACGAGCACTAAAAGGAGAGGAGTCACCTAAAAAACCCAAATGTTTTCAGTCAACATATTGTCTACTTTGGACAGATGCCATTGTCTTTATGTGGAAAATACTTAGAAAACTGATAAGAACATAATCATTTCCTGTATGTGAGGCCTTGTTAAGGGTCATCTTCATTTCAGTCATGCTACTTTAGCAAACTAATGTGAATGACACTCGGCTTTTTAATCTACAAAAATAATCAAAAACAAAATGTTATATTCTATAGCATAGAACTTAAGTGTCCATTTATTTTATCTGGAGAAACCCTAACATTTAAGCTGTATTCGTCAAATGCTGAGGTATGATTGTGGGTGGGTGGGTGTCTGGGTGGGGAGCAGGACAGAACAAAAACAAAACAATAAATCACATATTAAGAATTATGGATTGTTCAGATTTTAAAACAAACAAAACTATCTGAAATCAAATGAGCACTTTTGAATCCATACAGTCTATTTCTGTGAATATACGTAATCAGAATCTCAGTTAACACTCAACAGAAGACATCACTTTTAAAGAGCAGGATTTTTCTTTTCAGAATCTAGAAATCTCTGTTTTTCTTTTGTCTCTGTGTCTGTCTTTCTGTTTTAAAA